CAGTAACCACACACATGTTTCCTCTTCTCTCTTTTCTTAATTTGGACTTGATTACCGAGAAAGCTCATCCTTGCTTCCTCCTTTTCAAACCAGATGTGAGTAGCTGCTCCCTTCCTCTCTTCTCTGTTCGTCTTCACAGACAGCCACTCTTGTTTATAGTACTGCGGTCAGAGGAGTTGATTGTCCATTTTAAAGCAGTGCGCAGACGTGTGCATCTGTGTGTGTGTGTGTGTGTGTGTGTGTGTGTGTGTGTGTGTGTGTGTGTGTGTGTGTGTGTGTGTGTGTGTGTGTCTAACCCTCCCTTCCTTTTTGTTAATGTCTCTATACTTAGAAAACTCAGTTTGACTTTTTGCAGGTGAAGAAAGAAATGCACTCACACACACACCCACCCAAAGAAAAAAAATTTGAATTTCCTTTTTGGAGAAGTCACACTACATGTTTTCGCTTCAGTATTTCCACTCAGTGGAACACGATAAATAAAGAAACCTCCATTTCAAGTGCTTCTTTAACGTTGCTCTACATCAAGACCTGTGCACCCAAGTGAAAGACTTACTTTATATGGTTTTCAAACGGGATTTCAGTTGCTTTGAGCGTCAGTGTTTCACCTCAAATACAACGGCATCAAACTCATTCTGAAACCATTTTCATTTTTGTGCATCTGTAATGGAAAGCAGTAAAGTGTCCTTAAAATGGTGATCCTTTGTCTGCAGTGCACTGACTATTTAGAAAGCTTTTCTTTCAGGGCCGGGTGTGAACCGCTTTGGAAACACACCAAACTGCTGTGAAACCAGGTTGTATCATGGGAATCAGTTTGCTCGAGACCACTCTCTGACAATCAGCGAATATGCAGTCATTCTGAGACTTACATGACACTAGTTTCTGCGGGTCCATCTAAGATCAGAGCATATAATGGAAGCTGAGATTAATTTTCAAATCAACAAGAAAAAGTCAGTGGCAGGGGGGGTGTTCACTGTAAATCCCAGAGAACATAAATCTCTGTATAAATCCCTGCAAAATCAGAGTGCTGAAAGAATTTAATTAGGAAGATGCAAACGGTAAAGACGCACAGATATTCCTCTCTAAATAAAATAATACAAATAATTCAAATTTTGATCTAATATACAGCTTAACAGTGTTGCAGCTCACAATGTGTGACATAGGATGACAGTGCCATTGATCCGCACATGCAATTTGTACTATTTTCTGCTTTATTCTGTTGCGGATAAATGTTTTGCATTGAGTTTTCAAATACAGTCCATCCAGGTGCACGAGATCAGGTCATATGATCCTACGTGGGGGGGGGGGTCAAGGCTTACTGTCAGAGTGTTGGCCTCATACAGCTAGCTGATAGGCAGATTATGATTGGTTCAGGTGCACAAACCATCATAAAGACTCCATTGTCTGGCCGAATAGCTGAAGCTATAAGAATTTGATATCTGGGTTCCCTCTGTGGAGATCGGTGAAAGAACACAGCAGACAAAGGCGGACGTCGAGCATCTCTAAAAGATTAATATGCACTGCTTTCGTAGTTTAGCAGAACAAATAAATAAGCAAAAAAATACTTTGCATCTCACTTTTAATTTAACTGAAAAGAATGAACAGTTGAGCCCAGAGATGACAGGCAATAGGCATAGCTTCCCATGCCTGTTAGACCAGCTTTCACAACAAGTTAATATTACTCCTTTTTCTGCTTACAGCATTTGAAAAGGGAGTGCATGCTGTTGATGGGGTGGTGTCCCTTTGTGTGCACTTTTTAAAATTAGATCGTCCCATTTCCTGACAAATATTACTCAACACTTTCAGGTTTTTGGTTTTTTACAAGCCGACGCCAATAACATCTCGGTGCGCTGTCCGTGACATGTGTGTGTCCTTGCGTCTCCCTCACTCTCACTGGATGTCATTGTTTCTCCACCTGCTGCTGGAATCCCAAACATTTGGATATTGCCAGATAAAGAGCAGACCATGACAGGATTGCAGATATTATATTACACATCTAATAGCCTATAAATTTTCTAATGTAAGAGCCAGAAAAACAGGTGAACGGAGTCATAAATGCAGATGACAGATTTGCCATCATCTTTTATCGAGTGTCGTTTCTTCTGAGAGAATACCTGCCTTGTTTTCAGAAGGGTGGTGCGGTCTATATTTTAATCATAGCTGTAATCTAGATGACACACAGCACGGTTTAGAAAGTCTGTCATCGCTGCGGTGATATGAGGTGTAAAGCCTGTGTGACTCCTCGCTTTTTCCACTCCAAAAAAGTGCGGCACGTTTACAAGGCTGTTGGTGAACCTTTTCCCTCAATAATAAATATGAAAAGTTTTGACATATTTATGAGGGAAAGGGAGGGGAGACGGGCAAGTCTATACCGGCCATTTTTTTGCTTACCTGAGATGCGGCGGATGTGAATTTCAAAGAGTCGCAGAGACGGTAAAGTTGGCCTCTAGCTGCGGTGTGGAGCCTGATTCTGTTGTTTTTCTTGCCTTGTTAAAATCTAAACACCGGTTTATCCACCATGGATCCTAAAAGCTCAGGTTGTCTCCATTTATCCGAAAGAATGAGAAGTTTCTTTTTAAAAAAGAGAGCGGAGAGCGCATGGGAGCTGCGGCCCCGACTCACTGCCTCAGATAGAGATAGAGAAACAGAGAGAGAGAGAGAGAGAGAGAGAGAGAGAGAGAGAGAGAGAGAGAGAGGAGGCGGGCGATGTGAGCTCGGATGGAAATAACAAGCTCTGCGCACGGAGGTGAGGAAGAGCGCAACCCCGCAGCAGCCGCCGTGACCTGCAAGTGTTTGCGCTGTGGCTGTGATCAGATACGGCATCACTGCCCTGCCATAAACCCGTCCACTCTAACAGGGACCTGTGAGTTTACAGTGTATTATATGAGGATTGTTATGCTTCTTGTCTAACAATCTGACGTAAACTCAGCTGGGTGATATCAACTTAACGGCAGCTTCTTTTCCCCCCTTTTATTTCACTTCATTATCTTCGTCTGATGCTGTGCTTCAGAAAGAGAAACACTTAAATGCATTCCCGAGGATCAAGCTTCACCGATCATAACGTGAAAACACCCTTTGGCCATAGGCACCCGATAGGTATTTGTATTTTTATGGCTTTATATGGCCTACATATTGTTACATTGATGATGGCAACATTTCAGCACCCTGACACTGCATAAACTATTTATCTGTTGCTTTAGTCCATAAGAGCCGATGTGCCATTCGTCTAGATTTCACATAGAAGTGAAGTTTCAGCCACAACTGGCTAAAAAAAAAACCCTGGTCTTTACACGCGAGCAAAATGCGTATTAATAGTGCGCAATTTTGTAATGTCTTTCACGTCTAAATAGGGGAAGAAGACGTTGTGGTGGGATTATGCAGCTATCATTAACATAGAGAAGGAGCTGTATTCTCTTCACTGGAGAAAGAGCACACGACTAGGGGCTAATTTGCATTAAAGCAAATAGAAGTGTTACTTTGACCGATTCAGAAACAGTTAAAAAAAAACAACAACTGTGTGTTGCAGACAGACTCATAGAAAGAATTCAACACAATGAGCGATCAAAACTAAAGAAAATAAACACAATTTATTTTACATAAGTTATAGTAGTAAATGAAGAGTAGTCAGGAGATTGGTCCAGGTGACATGGAGATAAGGAGAGGATGGAGTGTGAGGATGCGTGAAGAATGAAGCTGATGAGCCGTACTGTGAAGCTGTGGGAAAGAGTCGTTAAAGCTATAGGTTAAGAAGAGAGGTGACGAGCAGTAGGCAGCAGTGTGGCTTCATGATGACAAAGAGCACTGCAGATGGGATGTTTGTTTTGAGAGTGTTGATGGGAACGCACAGAGAAGATTAGAAGGAGTATTGTGTCTTTGTGGATTTAAAGAAAAATGAATATGATAAGGTGCCAAGAGAGGAACTGTGGTACTGCATGAGGGACGTATGAGGACAGCGAGACAGTAGTGATGGAAGAGGAAGTGCTGACAGATTAGCTCAGCCAGGAGTCTCCGTGGACTGTGATGTTTAGGGACGCCATTGTAGTGAGAGAAGGGAGTGGGTCGAAAAGAGGTTGGAGAGGTGGAGGTATACACTGAAGAGAAGAAGAATGAAAGTCATTAGAAGCAAGACAGAATACATGTGTGTGGATGAGAGGGAGACAGGTGTAACAGTGAAGCAGCAAGGAGTAGAGACAGTGAATGTGTGTGAGTTTAAATCCCCCGGGTCAACCATGCAAACCAATGGACAGTGCACAAGAGAGGTGAGGAAGAGAGTGCAGGCAGGGTGGAGTGAGTGGAGACAAGTGGTGTAGGTGTTTTGTGGGACAAATGCCTAGGAAGGGAAGGGTGAAAGCGAAGGTTACAGAATGTGAGGGTCCGCAGATCTATAGTATTGATACCAACACTGGTATTGGTATCCGATCGATACTAGCATGAAAGTTGAAAGTATCGGTCTCAGTATTGATATTGGCATTACTGGCTCTGTATTAGTTTAAACACTACAAGTATCAGCACTACAAGACGGTAGTGAGACCTGCTATCATGTATAGAGGCAGAGCTAAACAGGACAGAATTAGAAACCATCACATCAAAGGGACAGCTCAGGTTTAGTAGGACAAAGCTGGAGAGGTGAGAGAAGAAAAAATGTATTTATAAAAGTATCAAACTAAGTAAATGTTTAAATATAAAGACATAACAAAATTAAAAGTTACAATGTAACCTATTAAGAATTAAATTTACCCTTCTATAATTGAGAAATTCGTTGTCGTCTGATTGTAACGTATTGTGTAGTCGAAGGACTGTCGCAAAAACCTGGAACCTTTTCAAATGCTTCGGAAGAAGGTTTGTAGGCACAGTCATTTTTATTCGGTTCGTCCGTATTATATGCCTGCCACCGTGCACTTTTTCTTTAAACTGTTTGAATACAAACGGAGTGGGAGAGTCCGGCAGTGGTTTTAGTTCATTAGCGGAACTAAAGTCACGTCATGTGATTCCAGTCAGGACTCGATTAGCAAACGGACTGTTTACCTTCCGCTTCAGACAGATGTGGCAGAATAATATTCTTTCAAAATGTATTCTCACGCTTCAGAGAGTTTAATTAAACAAGCAAGGTAAGGGCAGAATGAAAGGATAGCTTTCTTTTTTTCTCCCCGCATTTCGCTTTCCTTTAATCTGTTTAGCTACTGAAACTAAAGCTAGCTAGCATGTTGAATATATCTCCATGTTATTCAAACGCACTTTAAAGATACATTCTTCTCAGGGCTCTTTAAAGCGTTCGCGACTTTAACTTGAGTAGAAAGAAATGTGTTCGCTGTCACATAACTCTGTCAGAGTTTTATTTTTATTTTTTTCAACGAGTGTTTAGCTTCCGTGAGATCTGTCAGGGGTCTTTAAAGAGATCAAAACCAGCCGCACTCTGTCGTTTGCAGAGAGATTCAGGAGTCTGAGCTGCAGAAGTTTTACAGCAGATTAATGAAGATGCTTCAGGGCAAGGAGCTCGGTCACGACACAGTGGACTCCCTGCAGAGGCTGCACCTCATCCTTTCTGCCACCAAGTACACCCGAACGTAAGAACTCCCACCCACGCCTCTCATACTTCATGTCGTGGATGAGCTGATACCAGTTTTCATTCTCACTGCTCTACATTTTAAACTTAATGATTCATCTCCACCTTTGTGTATTCATTTCTTATAACTTAAGCTACTTATCTCTTTCTCTAAACCCACTTTTTTCACTCCCTCCTCCCACTCTTTCCTCACTAGTGTCAGAGATTCAGGGTACGCAAACACTACATTTTTTTTATTGTCAATTTCAGTAGCACTTCCTGTGCACGATGTCTGTTTCCTTTTGAAAACTTTGGGATTGTGGTTTAGTCAGGACGCCTAGAAACTGGGGGCGGAGTTGAAATCGGTGATCAGACACCCACATTTCCACACTGCCGTGGTCTCCTCTGCTCTCAGCGCCTATCATCTTATCAGCACCTATGTCATCTGTTTGCTTGCAACAACCTCTAAACTATGTTTCATCCACCGTGACCACCTAAGCGTTAAGAGTTCCACTAATCAGCAGTTCAAACGAATAAATGTCAGGTCTTACATTTTGCTGTTATGTCTGCAAGTTGCTGTTCCTTTGCTCTGTGTTCTCAAAGGCAGTGTTTTCAACAGTTCAGCCTCTCACTTTCCATGTGGTCTTTTTTTCACAGTAAACAGCAGCTTCCCTTTCTTCCCACACTTTTAATTAAAGTTGTAATAATGTTTAAATCTATCCCTCAGCTTAATATAATTATTAAAAAGCAAGTCAAGCCAAATGTCTTGGGTCTGCATCACTGTGGGATAAATAAGTGCGTTGTCTTATTTCTCTTCTGCTGTCGTCAACCCAAGGCTGCCTTTAGAGCTCCAGAAGAGGTTTGTAGCGCTTCTCTCATCACCTGCGGAGCAGCATCAGGTGCTGAGCACCGCTGTGCTCAGAGAAACGCTGCCCCTCACTGGTCAGGAGCTGAATTACAACCAGGACAATCTCGGTCAGCTGAACAGTCACGCTGCTGGTCTGCTGCTCTCACAGGTGGGCAGAACTGAAATTGTGTGGTTGAGCCTACTTCTTCATTACTGTGAGACATGTATTTAAAAGACTCACCACATCCTTTTTCAGCTCAGGATATTGGAAAAATAATTAGCCAGTATTGTTGTAATTTTAAATATAGAAGACATTTAGTAACACAGTCCCAGTTTGTGTTGTATGTGTGTGTGTGTCTTACTTGTTGGGCTTTTTTAAAGGCATTATCTAATGCAATCCTCTTTCACACTTTTAATCCTGACAGGCTGTATCCAAGGGTGATCTTTCATCTCTCTGCACTCAACTCCTTCGCAATCTGGAGAGTCGACCGTCTGAAGGGCCGACTCACTCGCTCATGCACACCCTGCCAGTCCTCAACAACGTCCTCACACACAGCCCAGAGTGCCTCAGCGAAGGTAGCGGGACATACAGATACAGATCTGGACTTTTATCAAATGTTGTAAAAAATAATTCCACATCACTTCCTGCATCTGCTATGTGCACCAACTAATTGTTCATACAGTGTAGAACACACTGTGTTATGTTTGTTGGTAATTTCATAAAATTAAAATGTATATAAAGAAAATTTTTGTGTGTTTTCAAGCCTGTTTAGTCCTTCAAAGTACAGTTAATTTGGAGAAGAGTGATAATGAGGGGTAAAGGGAAACCTCTGGATTCACCTCCGTGTGTCTTATCTTATTGCTTTAAGTTGTTTGCACTGGAGAGAGTTGCACTCAGATCTCTCTCCAATTCTGACTGTCTGCAGATCAAATGACCCTTGTAAGCAAAAAGCTTGTTGATTGGCTGCGTTATGCTAGCGTCATGCAGGGAGTCGGGACTTCCTCTGGAGGATTCTTCACGGGGCCCAGATCCCGTCAGGTGAGCAGTTAATTTTCATATTGAGCAAGTATTAGGTAAGTTAGGTAAGTATTATTAGTATTAGCAAGTATAGGATTACATTAAGCTTGTGACTCTTCCAGGAAGGTAATGAACTAGTGAATATATAAGTTAGTAAAGCTAAACTGGATTGCTTGTGGATTTTTTCCCTTCTCCCACTGTCAGCCGGTGCCTATAGCAGAGCTGGATGGGTCTGTGTCCGGAGATTTCTTCACTGTCCTATGTGTGGGTCAGGGCTTCACTGAAGACCAGTGGATGAACGTCTACTCCTTTTCCATGCTGCGTCATTGGCTTCTCACCTACCATTCCAGCTGCAGCACAGTAGATGCAGGTATGACCATTTGCTGTAATATGCTAGTGACACTTTTATGTGTTTCTATTTACAAACAGCTCCACAGTTCTGCCCATCTGAGCCATTTTTGCTTCTATTAGTTATAAACTAGCTTAAATGGCAGGTGTTTGAATGGCCGTATAATACTTCTCCAAGAATGACTATTCTATTTTTTGAGGAGCCTTTGCTTCAAGGTAGGATGTATTAGGGCTGTTATTGCTTCATATGACTAAGTCTCAGATGACCTGCTCTGTGTTTTCATCATCTTCAGCAAACAGGCTACAACTCAGCCTGTCAGTCTCCCACTCCTTTTCAAATGGTAAGACATGAGAGGTTGTGAACCTTCCCTGCATGTGCCTGATTCTAAGAATTAAATAAGCTGAACTCCCCCACTGTTCTTTAACTGGAGGCGGTACAGATCAATTCACAACTCTAAACTTTAACTAACAAACAAGTCTCTAATCAGAAATCATAATCTCTGACTTTTAACCTCCTCTTTCCACAGTCATTTGCCTTCCCCTAATTTTTCTTATGAGGTCCTAATCATGATCAAATATGCTCTGACAGCAGCCACTTTTAAGGGTGAGATGCTGAACTGCAAATGCCACACAGCCACACATTGCATGTGTTGTGTAAAGTGTGGGCGGCAAGTTCAATTTCATCTTGAAACTTCTGTGTTTGGATGTTTGTGGTCTTTGACCCTAATTTGACTGTGTTGCTTTCTTATAATAGCATTCCGACAATTATTAGTCATTGTGTCATCAGTGATAATCGTCACTTTCTCAAACGTGTATGGTTACTTACATCTAGCCCTCGGTAGTGAGCTCATGTTAAAGCTAAAGATCTTAATGAGTCCTGTGTGCACAGAGAGCCAGTTCATCGGTTTGCTGTTAACAAAGTGAATTTGTTCAGTTTTAACGTAGACGCTGTTTTGTTTACATTGTCAGTGTGACTCATCCAGTCCAGTTGGCCTCATACAGAATCCACTGATACAAACAGATGCCGATATGAGTGATTTGGGTAAATCAGTGTCGCCCACAGACTGGCTCGAAGATACAAACAAAATATGAAGCTAGTCTTAGTCATGCAGTGATGGTTGGCCTTTCTCCACACGGTCAAAACATGTTTTTGTAAGCATGAATTATAAAACTGTAATCTGATGGCGTTTTGAATCTTTTACCAAAACTGTAAAGGATTTATGTGAGCTTAATATTCTGATCACTCTGAACTGGCATACATTTTTCGCAATGATTTAATTGTATAATTTGGCACGGAAACAGTTACAGATTACCAAAGAAAGTTCAACAGATCCCTGAGATCTGTTTTACTACCTGGCTATACCATAGTTCTGCTGAGCAGCGTCAGCCTGACAAGTCAGCCAAGATTTTCCAAATCAAGCTAAAAGCTGGTTAATGTAAAAGAGGCGTGACCAAACGCAAACATGGATACGGCTAAACCCATAAATGTCCCACAAGAATACAAATTTGAGGAAAATGAAAAGAAAATCGAGTCATTTGTGGAAGACGGAATTGTCAGGACGCTTCAAGTTTACAAGACTTAGAAGTCAAATAACAACTCGTTGCAACCAAAATATGCAGATGAGATGGAGCAGCACAAGAATGTATCGAGTGCCACTCTTGTCACCTAAGAACAGGAAAGTGTGGTTACAATTCACACATGCTCACCAAAATCGGACAAAAGATGATCGGGAAAACATTGCCCGGTTACATCTCAGTTTCTGCAGCAACATTCAGATGGTCAGAATTTGGTGTAAACAGCACAGAAGCATGAATCCGTCCTGCATGTAACAGCGGTTCAGGGTGTTGCTATCAGGGAGCTGATCTGTTATGGCTAAAACAGTGAAAGTCCAGTGTCCCCTTTTCTTTCAAACCTGGACTGGAGTAATGCTCCCTGTGTTGAGAATTTGTGTCTCTTATTGATGCTTGTCGGGATTTAGACGGTCTCTAAAAGGGAGATCCTGTCACTGTCTGTGCAGCAGGGTCAATAGGTGGTATTTTGGTAGTCATGTGGATCTGTCCTGGAGCAGGTTGTGCTGTGGGTGCTATGATGGTGAATCCCAGTAAGATGGGAACGCCCTTCATGATATTGAAATCCAAGGGTTAAACTTGATGTTAGCTTACAGAGCCTCAAATCCTGCTTCACAGTACTGGAGTCTGAAATATGAGCAAAGAAAACAAGGTTCCTAAAATGAAAGTGTATATCAAAGTTATTACTAGCTAATGTGGTCTAATAATGCTTCTTTTGATCCCTTGCATGGTACACTTTAAGAATACTGTAACTAAGCTTTGATTAACATCACAAAAATATGAGCACATTTGTGTTGATTTCTTTCATTTCTGTGTGTTCTAAGAGGTGAAATTAGAGACCGCAACAGTAGGTTTCAGTCGAGGCATGAGGCATTTTACTAACCTGTAGTGATTCTACTTAACATCATCAGAAACACAATTTAACTCCGACTCCTGATGTGTTCGGAGCAATCGGATATAGACCTTAATCACGAATCATTATACCGAGAAGGTCACAACCTCTAATTCCCAAACCGTTACACGTTGTCACAGATGACCGATCGGAGGTGGACGGGTCCGTAGTTTCTATGGTTTCGGCAACGTCCTCCTCCAGCCGACTGCTGCCTCCAAAGGAGCGTCTCAGAGAGAAGGCTTTCCAGTACTGCCAGCGCCTCATCGAACAGAGCGACCGCAGTGAGTGTGTGCGCATTAAATTGCACCGGGTGAGAGAAAAGTGAGACGCGTAGCAGAATTCCTCATGCACGGATCTTTATTTGTTCTCTTTCCATCAGAGGCACACAAGAAGACCGATACAGAACTGCAAAAAGCGGTGAGTCTGCAGATCACTTATTATCACTATGGAAACACATTTCATGGTGCAGTTTGTAAAACTGAGGGGTTTAAATCACTTTTAGACACTTTTAGCCTGACTTCCTTTAATACTTAAACTAAGAGCCACAGTGTTGATGTAGATAACTGTAGCTTTTCCTGTTCACTGTGTTGTAGTAAAGAGCGCCTCCTGGTGTTCTGTTTAAGAAGTCAGGCTGAAAGAAGGAGACCTAGATAGGATGCTTGGCTTAGTCTGGCTCAGTTGCTGATCTACACTGTCCTTTTCTGCCCCTAACCCCCTAATTACATTTTACATTCTTTGCGTTACACTTCCACACAATGGTGTTGTAAGATGCACTGCTGTTTGCTGATACAAGCTCACAGTTTGACTTGTTTTTCTGAGTTCTGTGGATATGTAACACAGTTTGGGAATGACTTGCAGTATAATGTAAATAAATAGAAACATGTCAAAACAAAAAAGAGCCAAACTATGTGAATTAGTGACTCAAAGGGAAGGTGGAATGTATCCCTCTGGAGGTTGTTTACAGCTGTTGAGTGCATAAAGTGCTCAGTCATTCTTCATTTGGGGATAAATGTTGCTGAACCAGACATCAAGTCTGGGCGGTGACATCACCCCTTGACGTCACAGCCCACTCTGACCTGAAAGGGGCCAGACCAGAGAAAACTCCCCTTCCTGTGTTGTTTAACTGCACCGAGTCCCTCAGATAGCTTCATATAAGAGAAAAGAAGTGCAGTTTCAACAGTGCATCTCTGATTTTTGACACAACAGCTGCAGTAAGTGGAGGAAACCTGTCAGCATGATTAAATTGTAAGGAATAGACGTGTACAGAGAATCTTTTTTTAAACTCCAGACCCACTATAAAAAAAAGACATTTCTGTTGTAGATAATAAAAAAGAGGAACTCTTCTGTCATTAAGACGTTTATCTATTACTTTGGTTTTTTAGTGCAGTATGATTGGCCATGACTGAGGTTTTTATCGGTTGGAAAAGCTGTAAAAGCTACGAAAATGTAGTTAGCGTGTAAAAACTAAGCCCTCCTTCACATTTTCTAGTGGGCTGGATTGGATTCCTCGGCAGGCCGATTCTAACCCTAGGGCCTTATGTTTGACACCCCTGCATTAGAGAAACCACTGGTGTTAACCAAAAGAAAGTTCTGCAGTGTTATCAAGATTTATTCTGCTGCCCTTGTGTCCTGTTTCCTGTTTCAGTGTCTGGTGGAGGCCGTGTGCATCCTGGACTGCGTGTGTGCTGAGGACGCCTCGCTGGTCTACAGGACCTTCCCCTGCATAAAGGCTCTCTTTGGTCGCCTCAGCTCAGAGCTGTCGAATGCCAGAGTCCTGCTGCCCATAGCACAGTTCTACCTCAACCACGGTGCGCATACACAGCAACATGTGCTCGCAGCTGCCACAAGTTTAGAACGGAAAACAGGGTCACGTGTGTTCACTGTAAATTGGTTGCTCACACGATGACATCATACATGACCCCTTTTTCTGTGCGTGCAAGGTTGAATATGTTTATTTGTATCCGATCAGGCGAGATGGCTGCAGTGGACTGTGAGAACGTGTGGAAGGTGGTGTTCGGTCGGTTTCCTACGGAGCTTTTCAATGACCCATTCCTGGCACACGAGCTTCTACGCTTCCTTCGACTTAACGTGGAAAGCATAGAGCTTCGGGTTCCACAGTACACGCTCTACTTTCCAAATCTGTTGAAGGTGAAAAGCTGAGAAAACATGTGCAACAATTGTTAGATTGTGGATGTGCTTTTTATTCCTTACATGTTTTCTTTTTCTGTGTAGTTTTTAGCATGGGACAGTCCAGCGATGGTGGACGACTTTGTGGATCTGCTGCCCTCTATGGTTACAACTGGAACTGCGGTGGAGCTGCTTCACACCCTGCTTGACCTGCCCTGTCTCTCTGCCACGCTGGTCCTGCAGCACAGGTTCAGGCACACGCAGGAGAAAAACTGCTTCCCACAGGGATTTGGTTACATGCACAGTTTTTATCCCTGTCTCACTGGGTCTCATGTGTCACAGGTCCACATGTTTGCCCATCTCTGAGCCAGTCGGTCGCAGCTTCGTGTCACTGGATGCATTTCGAAACCCTTCTTTCAGAGGGCTTTTCCTCTTCGTGCTCCGAACGGAGGCAGGCTCAGGTAGGACAAGTCACAGAACAGAAGGAAATCAAATAAGAATAAAAGGCCAAACTGTTCCAGGTCTGCTCTGACCCAAGGCTCCTCCCTGCTTTCCTGTCTTCTCTTCACTGCACACACAGTATATTTGCTTTTTGTTTCTTCTGTAATTCTGTTTAAATCTAAGCAGCAGGGGCAGGTAGCTTCTTAAATTATGCTCTAGCCAATGAAATCATTGTAATTTTGTATCTCCCTGTTTAGGTGACACAATTGACCGACTGAGCACGCTCCACGAGCTGCTGGTTGAAGCTGCTGACTGGCCGAGAGTCACTCAGTGTGCTCGGACGGTCCCCGTGTTGTTGCACATTTTCTTCAACACAATTGTTACGGTGAAAAGATTCGACATTCTTTACAAATTCGTTGCGTCTGTACTTGCTGTGTTGCAGTTTACAATATACACCTTATTAAAAAAATATGTCGCGCGTCTCTTTCAGATCGCTGACGAGAAGCTTTTGGCTCATTTGATTCTGGTGATGCTGGAGAGAAGCAGCCTGCTCCTTAACATCCCTGCGTACATCAAAGAGATACACCGGTACACCGAAACACTAAAGCGCTGCTGGCTGCCTCACTCTCATCTTCATCTCCTCACTCACTCGCTCCAACCACTTCTCACTGTTTCTGCAGGGTGTTCAGCTGCCACCTGTTGAGGCTATGTAAGCTCCACCCCTCTCTGGTCGTGAACCAGTCCCACGAGCTGCTGGAGTTTGCTGGAAGCACAGCCAACGTCTACAGCAAAGAGGAACTCTATACACATGTGGTAAAAAGAGTGCTGACTCTTCTGTGTATCTTGGGTTATGTGCAAAAACCCAGTGCTTCTCACATTTCAGCATTTGCTCAAAACCTGATGTGGAAACAGCACTGAGCTTGTTTGTCTCTCAGGTGTGGGTGCTGGGAGAGTACCTCTCTGTGTCATGTGACTCTCGCTGTTCCGTGAGCCTCATCACTTCCTGTTTTGAAGCACTGGAGGCGGTGCTGTTTGAGATCACTTCGTCTGCCCCTCCAACTGGAACGGTTTGCCCGGCCCCTAAAGTCATCAACACTTTAATGAGCGCTCTCGCTAAGCTGGCGTCACGGTCACATGACCTCATACCTCGGTAACAGACTCTTTTTAAAGATGCAATATTTTCTTTTCTTCATCCAGGACTTTGTAATGTTCTGATATCATTTGTGTGTGTTTTGTTTTTCTTTTTAGGGTGTCTCTGTTCCTCTCTAAACTAAGAACTGTAACCAGAAGCGGATCGGTTGCCTGGTGCTCTGATGAGGAGGACCTCGTTGCTATAGTAACACGAGGGGAGGAGTTGTGGTCGCTGCTGAAGGCCCCCGGCGTAGCTCAGAGTGTCCTGACACCACCTCCCCATGTCATCGCACCGCAGTGGCACAGAGACACTAATGTGGCATTGCCGCTTCAACTGCGAGCCCTCACAAGCCTCACACACTCACAGTGACACAAACACACACTCATGTACAAAACGCAACATCATCCTGCGCTGACAATGCATTTTTGTAATTGATTTGTTTGATGTTGACGCTGATATGATTTTCATAAAACACACAGATCCCTTTCAGTGTAATATTTTTCTTCTTTATTACAGTGATTTGACAGAAATATCATTTTATAAAATAGATCATCTGATTAAAAAAAAAAGATTAAAAAATTGCTCATTTCCTGAGTAGGTGCTCTGTTTTCAAGAATTAAAACAGAAGTAATGAAAGTACTAGAAGTTAAGAAAATCTTGAAATGTGGAAATAGAAATTTGCATTTACGAGCTACGTTGATTCTGTCGTAGTCAGAGGACTGTAGCAAATTCTACGTTACACATCAGTGTTGATAGAAAAGTGCTCAGAAGTCAAGAGCGCACCATTTAGACAAAACAACTGGCATTAAAATTCCCCTGAACGGGACACGAAATGCATTAGACCTTGACATTTTCATAATGAGACGGACTTCTTTGTCTTTTAAATCAAATGACAGTTTTAGGAAAATTAAATTGGAACACAAGTCAAAAAAAATAAAACTCAAAGCTGAGTCACAGCCACACACGAGTAGCTGGTTCTACTCGCGTCTCTTATCATCAGGTTGATCATTTACAGTCTGGCTACAGTGTGTCACACAGACATGTGTGACCTTAAAGTCTGTCTGCAGATTGCTTAATTCGGTCTCAGTCGGCCAAAGATGAGTATGTTTAATTACGAAACCAGGGGTCGTGCATGTACTGTGAAAATGAACAGAAGTCAAAAGCAGATCCTCTCAAGGGGTCACATTACTTAGCACTTAGTTCCTCCTACGCCGAGCGGCGCATCGGGCAGCTAGTGATCTCCATCGATGTCGGTCAGCAGCGACTGCTTCAGCTTCGTCCCAGGCAATGTCGACAGTTCTCAGATCGTCCATAAATGTTCAAGGGGTCACATAAGGTGGTAAAAATCTGTAACAGCTTTTACAGCCAAATCAATATTGAAAGCCTGTCAATGGCAGCTTTGTTGGGCGACTTCCTGACTGTCATATTTTACCACCGACCAAGGATGTAGCACCAACAGCAGAAAGGGATTCCTGTGTAGTGAGTTTTGGCACATTAGTTGTGGTTGGATTACTGAAAGTAGGGAGTTTAACAGCTTAGGAATGCTCAGTAACAGATATGCCAGTAAGTAAAGCTTCATTATTTTGGGAAAGTGCATATATATTCTTGTAAAGATGAGAAGATCGATAAGACTCTTACAGTTTTACTAGTCTGGCATAAAAATAGTGATACTCTGGTTTCTTTATTGATTTTCCAGTAACCTCATGCTTGTAAAATAATGCCCAGAATAGTCGTGACCAACAGTTGAGCAGCTGGTGTGGACAAAAGGAACACTTTAAAATACACAAAATATCTCAGTGGGAAAGAAAACCATATGGAACGGGTAATGAGGAACCAAAAGATGACACATCGTTTGAAGGAAATTAAAATGATCAACCTACAGAGGGCTGAATTCAAAGATACCCTGAAATCTTTATCTGGACCACGACATCACTGAGCTCCTGGACAATCTGAGGTGCAGCCTGGTGGTGTCGGATGGACTGAAACACGATGTCCCAGAGGTGGATTTGGTGAGAATCGCGGGCAGTCAGTAGTATCAAGTCTTTCATCCTCCAAGAAACTGCCTGCATACTCTTACTACATGAGGCCAGGCATTGTCATGCAGCAGGAGGAACCCAGTACACACTGCACCATTGTAGGGTCTGTGAGGTCCAAAGGTTTCATCCCAACACCAAATGGCAGTCATGGTGCCGTTGCCTGTAGAGGATATGGCTCCCCAGACTATGTCTGATCTACCACCAAATCAGTCATGCTGGACAATGTTACTGGCAGTATAATGTTTTCCTCTGCTGCTTCAGGCCTTTTCATCTGTGTCACGTGGGTGAATCTGTGTGAAAGGCACAGGGTGTCAGTGGTGGACCTGATAATTCTGGTATTCTATAGCAAATATTAATCAGGCTCTATGTTTCCAGGCAGTGAGCACAGGGTCCACTAGAGGACATCGGCCCATCAAGCCACTCTCATGAAGTCTGTTTCAAATTGTTTGGTGGCCTCCAGGGGGTCATTTTGTGGCTCTGGCAGTGCTCATTATGTTCCTCCTTACACAAAGAAGCAGATGCCGATCCAGCTGATGAGTTAAAACATTACCCAGTTCATATCAGCACAGATATTCAGCATGACTGTCTGACACTGACCCTAGTCAAACGCAAAAGTAGTGGAAAAAAAGAATCAAAAAAGATGGGGAGGGAAAAATAGCCTCCACCTGTAAAACCATTCCTGTTTTGGTGGGGGTCTCATTGTTGCCTCTCTAGTGCACCTGTTGTTTTTCATCAACACCAAAGCAGCTGAAACTGACTGAAAACACCTTCTGCTAGAGACCAGATCAATGCCCCAGAGGTTTAATTGACTTGATGCTATAATCTGATTAAAATGTGTTTCTTTTTTTATAACAGTGTATTTTAGGAAGTAAATGTCTGTCAGTGCAACAGCATCAGCAACAATGAGTCAAGAAACCTGAGTGGTGTGCAGGGGTTTAAAGCTAAGTGTACTGTGAGTGCTTGTGTAGCAATGGAGTTGTATCTCCTGATTGCTTACATATTTGCCGGTAAGAGCCCATCAAAAGATCCATCCATCTATTCACTTCCGCTTTTTCCTTTTCAGGGGCGCTGGAGCCTATCCCAGCTGTCATAGGGCGAGAGGCGGGGTACAACCTGGACAGGTCGCCTGTCTGTCACAGGGCTAACACACAGAGACAGACAACCATTCACACTCACATTCACTCGCACATTCACACCTAGTGGCAATTTGGATTATCCAATTAACCTATCCCCACAAGCTGCATGTTTTTGGACAGTGGGAGGAAGCCGGAGTACCTCGAGGGAACCCACGCAAACACGGGGAGAACATGCAAACTCCACACAGAAAGACCCCGGCCTGATGGTGGAATTGAACTCAGGACCTTCTCGCTGTGCGGCAACTGCCGTGCCACTGTGCAAAATAGATGATGTCTATTTTTTATAATAGGAATGAAATGCTTTAAATAATTCGGCGGGGTTTACAAGTGATGGGGCAACACCTCCAACACCCCCCAGGCAAAAGCAAACCTCCGAGCAGGCTGTGACGCACCAGTGCACACCGCTGTCCAACCTCAACGCTCAACCGCAGGCTGTAACAAAACACTGAGCATTATTTTCAGGTCTGAATTTGTACCCGTTCTCCTTCATTGCACTTGAACCGTGTTTTTCAGGATGCCCGTCACTGAGGATGTTTGAAACATGGTGAAATATAACCTGAAGCTGTTGCTTCTGTTCATGTGATCCCAAACTGATTCCATGATGTCTGTCTGGGATCAGGGCTCTTTGAGGGGTCAGATCGTTGACGTGATCAAATGTCTCTCTGATGGCGCGATGTAGAATCTGTAGATCTGAACATGTCTGTGCACAGTATCGTGGTTACCACAAACATTATAGATTGTTATCAATCTTCTCATCTACCTCTGATAGAAAATAAACACATTTCCCAAAATTAGAAACTTTTCCTCTAACTGGCGGAGATAAGCAGGAAGGAAGATTTCATAATGCAGGCCTGGCACTCGGATCTCGTCTGAAACACTACAGACAGTCAACATGGCACGCAAACCAGTGTCAGTGTCGCTAATTACGTCTAAAAGAGCAGAATTAGACATTATAAATTAGCGTCAATTTGGTGTAGTGAGGCTAGATGTTATATAGTCAGCACACAGTACAAAAATTGGTCCCCGGTGGCCCAGCTTCGTAAGTGAAGCTTACCGTAGTCAAAACACTAACGTCCTAACTACATGAAATGCACTTTTGTCATTCAGCCTGTCGGCATGGAAACGCTTAACGTCAGTATGCAGCCGGTCACCTCGACGTCTGCAGCTGTGTCCCCGGTAAATACAGGTACCTCCAGATGGCGTAATAGTGAATGCCTGCTCCAACGGCCACAAATAGATGCCAGATCGCATGGGCGAATGGCACAAGGCCATCGCTCTTAAAGAAGACCACGCCTACTCCATAGAAGACACCTCCCACGGCCAGTTCACACACACCTGTGCGCTCCACCTGGAACATAGGAAAGTTTGCTGGTATTTAATTTAAAGATGCTTTATTTAACTGGATATTTGTTTGCTAAAGATGTATCCAGTTTTTGGTTGAATTCATCTGAAATAAGAAATACTCTTATTTAAAAGAGGTTTCCCAAATTTTTGAGAAATGCCGTTTTACATGCCCACTCCATAAAAGACGGAGTAGCACTTCATCGAACAGCCCAATACTTGGTGTAGTTTTCCAACATTTACCAAGGACTTTTTCACAGGTTAGAGTGTAACTTTATATACCTAAAATTCCTTACCTGTAGGTACAGCATGATAACAAAGCTTTAAAAGAAAGAAGCAACAAATTATACTGAGTAATGAGTAGTTTTTGGTTATTTTAGAAGATCAGACCAACAATGTTTGTTACGTTGACTTATTAAGGGCCCAGGCTGTATCACGGACTATCCTAACCACTTATCCTTACATTGTAATAACACGTGATTTTGAGGTGCATGTTGGAATTTGTGCAACCTACCGCTTTGTGCCTGAGTTGGTGTCGTTTCCTGTCGCTTCCGTTTTGTTATAATACCACTAACAGCTGATTGTGGAATATTTAGTAGTGAGAAAATTTCATGACTGGGCTGGACTATCACAGTACCATGCTGGAATTCGCTGATTTCCTGACATCTTTAGAAGCAGTCTGCATGCCTAGATGCCAGGTTTTATACACCTGTGACCATGAAAGTGATTAGAAAACCTAAATTCAGTGATTTGCATGGGTGAGTGAATACCTTTGGGAGTATACTGTATATCAAGTCATGCCCTGCCTGGCCTAAATGATTTCTGTTTCTTCTGTCCTTCATGTGTTTTTATGCACTGAAATCTGGAGCATGAATTTTCAAATAGACATTAGAAAATTGCACCATAACTATGAAGTGCTACGAAAAATAAGGGCCTGGAGCTCCATGTGGGTAAAAGAAACCCAAAGGAATCAGATTCAGGTTCTGAGCACATTGTTTAAGGCCTTTTTATAAAATATGACTATAAGATTTATGCCAGCTTTTCCCTTTAATAAAAGAGATGTCAAGAAATACAATTTCTCAGACATGAAACTAAAACACAGCGTGATTTATGGAGCCAGAGAATGAGCTACGTTACTACCTTTATCTTCAGGGGGACATGAAAAAGAAATCACTCCATAACGGCTCGGGCTGTAAGTGAACGTGGCAGCTACTTCAGTAGGTGTTGACTGTCTTACCCTCAAAGTGACAATTTCAGGCTTCTATAAGTTGAAATCAAGAGCGTAATCAAATGGAAATCAGTGATTCAGTGCAACAGGGGAAGTCAATGTAAGACTTATGCATTGGAAAATAGTCAGCAGTTCTATTACCAGCAATTAGACGCATCTGTGGGTTATGGGGCACTCAAACAAAAGCCGCGGTTTGGTTCTTTAAATAGTAACGGTAGTGGAAGGAAGTCTGCAGGGGGGAAGGGGAGTGGCAGACGCTGAGAAAGACTCATCTATGTGATGTAGACTTACCATAGAGAGAATGACCAAAGCAGGAACAGCCCCCATGGCCACGTATCCCAGCAACTCGATCAGCTTGTACCTGCAGGTAGAAAACTGGACCGTGAAGTCATAATAAAAATAACAATACCTCCATTTTCCTGCCTAATTATTTGTGCTCCAAACAGCAGTCTTGTGTTTTCTGTCAACACTTGAATGGAGGCGTTTGGCTTCAGGTTAACTGTGTCAAATTAGTGCACACAGTACAAACGGAGGCTGTGTTACCTCTCATGGAAAAAGCAGACATACGCCGATCCTATACACGCCATGACCCAGATGAGCCAGCGCATGTGGCACGTCCAGGGTCCCAGCTCCCTCAGCATCAACCTGAGGAAACACGACATCGCACCTACACAGTTACAGTGTGTTCGCTCTGGTCTTTATTTTATTTATTTTTTTGCTGTAGTCACATGACCCACCATGGAGAGTAGGAGGCTGCGATGAAGAAGTAGATGGCCATTCTGTCACACATGTGGAAGCGCTGCTCCACCTTCCTACACGGAGAGAGGAGGAGGCATGAGCTCATTTGTGAAGATTCAGTTAGAGTAACATAATAAGTCTAAAATTTAAAGGATCCAGGCTGTATGAAGATTTTTATTGTCTTCCTCCCCGCACCCCCAACCAGTCGGGGTAGATGGCTGCCCCTTCCTGAGCCTGATTCTCCTGGAGGTTTCTTCCTGATAAAAGGAAGTTTTTCCTTTCCACTGTCGCCAACTGCTTATTCATAGGGGGTCATATGATTGTCCACCAAAGTGTGGAAAGTGTTGTTTGTTTTTTGGACAGCAATATGGCTGAAAGACCAGAGGAGGACTCTGAAAATGTTGTGTAAAGGGTAGAAACACATTTAAATTGTCAAAGTGAGTCCTACAAATCATGCACCTTTTCTTAATACGCATCCACGTTTCTGGGGCTGTATAACAAAATGAACTGAATCACCTACACATTACAATTACAGCACTACAATGTTAACCCAAACAGCTCTTGATGCTTTTTGCGTTAATGCTCATGTTTGGAGCACTGCAGTTACTGATGATTTTTACGTGCTGTGGGCATCAGGACTCGCCGACCACGCTCTGTAACTTTACCTGGTGTGACACTTTGTGGCTGCCTTGCAGTGGTTCCACTTTGCAATAATATAACTTGCAGTAGATTGTGGAGGAAATTTCACAAACTGACTTTTTGCAATGGTGGCATCCTGTTACAGTTAGTGTAAAGTTGGTGAGCTATTTGGTTAGATGCTTGATTTTATACACCTGCAGCAATGGGACAAAAAAAACATCTGCTGTTCTTCATACAAGAATAGTCACCCGGTGACGTGGCCTGCTAAGATCAACCCTCGTGCAGGCTTGATCTTACAGGGTTAAACCAAAACCATGAGCACATTTTATAAGCATAATCCATGTAATAATTTTAGATCTCCTGGAAATGTATTTTTATATAGCAGCATTAAAATACCTGTTCTTGTTGAAACATAACAAATTGACCTGTGAACTGTTCAAGGATCAAAAAGGTGACTAACTCAAGAAATGATGCCGTGTTGTGTCCACAAATAACAGACACCTTAGCAAGGAACCAATTTTAAATAGTATCTTTAGGCACTTTGTTGTGAGTAAAAACATGTCAACACATGTTCCCATTTCTTTTGAAAACTTGCCATATCAGCATGGTGTGCAGTGTGTCCTTAAAACACTTAAGTAAACTGGGCAAGTGGAGGACAAAAGAAGAAGTGGCAGGCCTAAAAACTATCTACAGCAGACGAACTCTATCTGAAAGTCATGACCTCAAGAAGTCGGAGATAATCCTGCAAAGACCTGACACGGGACCTGAGAGATGCATCCTATTTACTGTTCACTGAAGCCTCATCAGAAATGGTCTCAGTGGAAGTGTGGCTGTCAAGAAGCTATTATTAAGGAAGGGGAATGGGGAGAAAAGGTTGAAGTACGGCAAATTGCAAAAGAACTGAAAATCAGTGACAACAGGTCAGATGAAGTGATTAATCCCAATTTGAACGTTTTTCTGGTTCAGATTCATTTTAATATGTATGGAAAGGACAGGACAGAGGTACAACAGAGAGTGTCTACAGCACAGGCTCTGTTATGGATTAGGATTGTGTTATTGTCCAATTCTTTGAATTACAAACACAGGAAAGAACCATCGCAATACCATCTGAAAAGCATCTGACTGGCAACAACTTAATTTGTTTGAGATCATTCTGACAGAGAACAGAACAAGAGGCAGCTAACATCCAAAGAAGAGCTTTAAATGTCTTTCACAAAGCCTGGAGAACTATTCCAGGGCTTGCAAAATCGCTAGCCCGACGTCCCGGGGCTAGCGATTTTTCCAGTCGGGCTACCAAAATCTCTCTGCCCTGCCCGTCGGGCTATTGTAGGAAGGAAAAATATATTGTGGCGAGCTCAGACAAGGAGGAGACGGAGGTATCGTTTGGTCTTCCTTCCCGTGAGCTAGCCAGGGAGCACAGCCGTTTATTGACATCTGCAGAAGAACACTGCCGCTAGCTAACTGCTCAGTAGTGATGTGCGGATCGATACTGAAATATCGATTCCTCCGATACCAGTCATTTATGTTCTAGAATCGATACTCATATTAAAATATCGATATTTTAGTAATTTAGGGTAAATTTGTAGGTTATCATTAACAGGAACAGAGTGCAAATAAACTATATCATTTGGATTGTCTACATTGGAAGGAACTACTTAGTCTTCCACCTGTCATAGTCGTGACATATGTTTGTATAAATGTGTCCAGCCCCTTGTTGTGCACACTCACAACAATGGCTGAGCATAAATGGAGTCATGTGCAGACGTATTTTACTTCCACAAACGGTTGAGACGTAGTTTGCAATACATGTGGCAAGAAAGGGAGGTGTTTTGGCAACACTACTAACCTCATCAAGCACAAGAATATGACGAGCTTATGTTGAGGTGAACTGAAGAGGAGGAGTGGACATGGACAGGTGCTGCAAGGGCGAGACGGACGTCTCTCACGGAGTCCTTTAGTGCTGCAGGCAGGCAACGTGTTCAAATAGCGCACAACTTCAGTTTTTTTTTTTTTTATTTCTATATGATAACTGTGCATTATTAAGCGATAAGAACAAGTAATCCGATGTCCTGTAATCATTATGATGCTATAATTTGAGATACAATAACTGAAATACGTTTTTGTACAAAGTATCGGTATCGGATCAGTATCGTCGATACCACCCTGAATTTAACTTTGTATCGGATCGGAAAGGAAATCAGTGGTATCGCACATCACTACTGCTCAGCGCGGCAACCGCACAGCAATAACAACACCACACAGGGCGCCCTCTGACCACGGAAGGACACACCGTAGCAGCGAGAGGGCATCACCCGTCACCATGGCAACATACACAAAACGTAACTGTACAAACAGAACCCCGAACAGCCCTGACCCGCTACAATGTCAATGCTTTTGCATTCTTTCAGAAATGTAGCTGGGTAATTATGTCATTGGCATCGATGAGCCACTGTCAATATGTGACATATTGAAGTCGCGTTTGAATTTGCGCTTGTTTTTTTGCTTTCACTTTGCAATCGTGCGAACTGTGTATAGAGAGCGACAGCACTGATCTGTGAGTGATGATAATTTGTGCACCAATTCCTCTGACATCGTCTTATCAATCGTTAGCTTACTATGCAAACATGACAAGTGAAATCTCCCGCAGCTTAAACATATGAGAGGTTGATCGCGCAGAGAATCGCTGACCGTTATGTGTGTGTGTGTAAAAGCAGCAGGATATATATTTTAGTTCTGCTGAGGCAAATAAGACAGGTCAGGGTGAAGAAGTGACAGCCAAAGAAAAGCTTACCACAAAATGGAAAAGTTAGGACAAATCAGACTATAAGGCAAAAAGAAAGTGCAGCTTTTGTCATGAATCGCTGTGCGGCAGGCAGGAGTTGGACCCAAAATGCAGGACTCACAGACTCGGGGAGGTGAACTCAAAACACAGCTTTATTTGCTGGTAGAACAAACATACAAAACTAGACTAAACTGGGAAACCATAAACTAAGAACTCACAGGGAGATCCACACACAGCATGAGGGACGACGCGACACTGACTCAGAGAAACACAGGGTTTAAATACACTGGGAAGTAACGAGGGGAATGAGACACAGAAGGAGGGCACAGCTGGGAGAAATCAGGACTGACGAGACAAGCAAAGCAGGACGCATTCACATGAGACACGGACCATCAAAGTAAAACAGGAAGTATCACACAGAGACGCGAACTTGACACAGTGGAGACAGCAACTAAGAAATACAGAGACATAAACCATAAGGCAGAGGTCTAAGAACCAAAATACACAGGGAAATACTCAGCTGGGAACACAAGAGACTAGACTAGAGAGAGTAACAAAAAACCAACCATGAGAACATAATGCACAATGCAGAGTGACAGAAAACAAGAAACTCAAACATGCAAAGACACACAATTACACAGAACAGAGGGGACACAGAGAGACATGAAGGGCAAGGGATCAAAACTAGAAGCCATAGAATAAATCACACACAAGTACAATAATACAAAAATCACAAAGAACTAAAAACGCTGGGTCAGGAGACCCAGGACCGTGACAGCTTTATGGTTTCATGGACAAAAGAATTTCTGTGGCTGCAATATGACGAGCTATATAACCGGGGCTGCACATAAGTGGTCCGCAGGTGCGCATTTGCTGTCAAAATTTTAAAAAAAATGCGCACAAGATATGAAGTTGCAACGCGTGTTTGCATACATAAGATTTTCTGGAGGAGGACAGACATTTGTTTAGAACTCTTAAAGATGTCGAAGAAGCTCCTTTAAGCAATTACTTTGGTGTTCCTCCACCTCCAGACAAATGTCAGAAGGAGTCCGAACCACAAAAGAAGCGCGTATTCTCGGAAAAGTGGTTGCAGGAGGTGAGCTGGCTTCAAACAAATGATGAACGCACAGAGATGTGGTGCGGAATGTGCCGTGAAAATCCCACTCTAGCGGACAAAAACAGTGCTTATTTATATGGACGCAAACGCACGTTGCAACTTCTTATCTGGTGCGCGTCTTTTATTTTGACAGCGAATGCGCACATGCGGACCACTTATGTGCACCCGTGTAAATAACATAATGTTCTGCCGGGTGTGTTGTTGGTTTTCTCTCGATTTCTGAGTCGATAAGCGCCTTTGTTACTGGGACCAGTCATTTTAAGAAAGGCCCCCATTAGAACCCATGAGAAATGCAAGAAACGTATTATTGCTCAGTCTGCAATATCTTTCCCAGAACAAACACCAATTGCAAATAACATACTAAAAATAAACCTGAAAAATCTGTTTAGAACAGCGTACTATGTTGCAAAGAGTGAACTACCACTGGCAAAATTTAGCAGTCTTTGCAAACTTTAAAAAGCAAATGGCCTAGATCTTGGTTCCACTTGTCTCTTACCCGTGACTTCAGTGGAAATTTTAAATTCAGGATCTGACACAGACGGATTCATGTCCTACAGAGTTCTTACAAGTTCATAGAAATTTCTGTTCAATTAGAACCAAGTATTTGAGTTGATGATTGTAATTTTTATACAATGTTGTAATTTGTTTTTCAACAATTTTTTGATTAATGTTTTGTTTTCTTTACAATATTATACTTTAATGTATAATATTGTAAAGGAAACAAAACATCAATCAAAAAATTGCTCTCTTTTTTATTCGGGCTACTTAAATTTATTTTGGGCTACCAAAAACTGAAGAGTCCCTGCCCGAAGGGCTACCTGGGATTTTGAAATTTTGAGAGCTCTGTATTCCTAAAGACAATTTAAAGAAATGTTGAGAAAGCTGCCTAAAAGAGTTCAGGCTCTGTTAAAGAATAAAGGTGGTCATGCCAAATATTGACTTTCAAGCTTGTTAGAATTAAACAAAACCCAATTTTGGCTCATAAGCTGCATTTCCAAGTATCTTTGTGCATGTTTCAATAAATCATGGCCCCTTGTTCCCATTTTCCTAGCAAAATATAAAGAAGCGAGACTACTGCCCCTGGAAGTAGATAAAAAGTGCATAAGCAACGCTTCAGTTGCCATCTTTTCCATCAATAACCTGTCTCTCCATTCCATAACAATCTTTTTTTTCTCCTTTGTGGGACTTTTTGGTTGTTGTTGTTTTGGAAAAGCTGTTAGCCAAAATAAAATTTGCTTGTCATACCTCAGTATCACAAATATCTTCTGTTTTGGACACTTTGACAACAAAAAACTCACCAAAAACACATTTTTGTGAGCCAAAGTGACATGAAATTTCTTGATTATTGTTCCTCGTCTGGTTTTTGTAAAACCTTTGGGTTGCAACAAACAAAGTGTTCATCTAACTGTGTCGTAAACCTACCGGAGCAGCTCATAAGTACACGATGGCACATCTGCCAAATCCCTATCAGCACTTCCTCCCCCCAACACACACACAAACACACACCTGAGGTGGCTGATTTTCCAGGCAGCAGTATGGAAAAGAGTTGAGGTGATGAATAAGCCGGTGAGGCCGCTCCCATAGAGCCAGGCAGCGACACGATGCCATCGGTCCACGGAGAGAAAGTAGAGGACGGACCCACCGACCATACTGGGAAGAATCCACAACTGGAAAAGATTCAAATATCCAATAATCATGTCAGACTTTAATATGTGCAGTTCATTCACACTCATGTTCATAATGCTAATCAAGTTCCAAACAGGTAAATAAATAAATAAATGTACCCAGAGCTCCATCCCCTTACACAATTAACTTTCTTTACCGCCGTCATGAAAAATTGCATTTTTTACTCTTCCTAAAAATGAAACTTTTCACATTTCTCTTCCTCTGAGCCCAGGAGAAATCACTTTTTGATAGCACTCTTGAGCTCTAGTAAAGTTTTGCTTAGCAGAAAGTCTGGCTCTGTCCAAAACAACGCTGATTAACACCTTTGAAAAATAACACATTGTGCTTTCATGTGTGGGATTATTTATTTGCCAGACTTAATAACTCCGTGGTTATTATACCAGCGTATAACTCCCCCATAAATCCACGAGGAGTTTATTACCTTTGAGCAGAGCCAATAAAATTTCCGCTTTATTTCCACTCATTGTGGCGTCGTGTTTTCTCATCAAACTCCCAGCAAGAAATAATAATAATAATAATAATAATAATAATAATAATAATAATAATAATAATAATAATAATAATAAAGCACGTAAGTATATTTCCCAAAAAGGTCATGAACTATATTTACGGATTTTGTATTTGATGTTATTCTGTGAACAACCAGGGGACAAAAGTGGGATATAAAGAAAATATTAACCACGATTTCACTAAAAGTCCACTTGGATCCTTTATAAGTGTTAATGACTGATGAAAACTGAACTTTTTTTGGTAACAGAAGTAGGACATTTTGTTTGTATGTTTACGAGATACACCGACTCACATGCTAATGGGCTTTGTGGCAGGAGAGGGGATGATCAAAACATACATCATGAACACAAATGGCTATAGAACATCCTGTTTAAAGCTTTACGGCCATTAGAGCTGTAGTGTCTCCTCTCGCTGCTTGTATCATTCACTCTCACTGAGAAGATGCATATGGAGGACACAAGCTGCCAAAATCATATCTAAATATATCAGGCTATGTCATATATAAATGACTATGACTCATTTTTGACTTTAACAGTCTCTCACATCATCCCAGATTAATTTCCACCCACTCTTCTTTACGACGATTCGGCTCATTGAGTTTTGTGGGTATTTGTTAATGCACAGCTCTGTTAAGGTAACGCCACAGCTTTTCAGTCGGGCTGGGGTCTGAACATTGACTGAATCGTCTTTTCTTTTTCAGACTGTGTAGACTGTGTTTGGCATCACTGTCCTGTCACATGACCCAGTTTTGGCCGTCAGAGAGTTTGCCATTGTCATGGTCGACTCAGTGACTGCAAGGTGCCCAGGTATGCGGCTGCATTATGGTCTCACATCTCCACTTTGTTTCAGAAGCAATCTGGTTCAATCAGATGCAACTTCCCAGGTAACCATTCAAAACAAGCCATACTTGCTGAGTCTTTTCTTCTAACTGTGCTGTCATAACATGCTAACTGAGGCCTGTGGGATCCCAGATGTCGGTTTTGGGGTATTTTACAGTTTCTCTGAGCAGTGCACGGTCTGACCTTGGCACGAGTTTGCTGGCACGTCCACACCTGGTAAGACTGTGGCATTGTGTTAACATGCCTGCGAACTCCTGACGAGCAAACTGCCAAAAGTTCTGCTTTTATACAGGTGGGAACCCCACTGAGCAGTTAATCCAGTGCATTTGATTTGAAGCAGTTGGCTGCTACTGACCTTCTTAATTCCTATGGAAGCAGTAACGATGTATATCATACTATAGTGATCGTAGCGTATGGATCTATATTTGTATGTTCCCTATCTCCTCCTAGACAAGTGGACCAATGTTGATGAAACTTTTCATAAATATTCCCTCTGGGACTGAGTGCGAACATCTATATGGTGTATACAAATATTTTGTACAAATACTACATATATTTGCACATTTGACATTTCAACTGAGCACCAAACGGCGACATTACATCTATATTCACTGTGTACACGTTTGAACGTATTTTAACTGCCATGAGAGATTTAGAGGCGTATTAGATCTTCTGTATCTATGATTCATCATTAATGCTACAAAATATTGTAGCATGAATTAGCATTGATTAAAAACTATTGTAGTTTTACATAATTATCAGTTTTAATTAGCTATTTTATTATTTATACATTGAGGAATATTTTGTAAATGAAACAGAAAAGTAAAGAATGGGAGGTGAAAGTCACTATTTTACACTTCATGTCTATTTAATTTTTGATTTTGGCAGTCGTAGTCTTCCATAGGGACACACTGGGATTACGGCAGATTACAGGAAACTACAGGCTGACTCAGAGATTACAGCCCAATGCTTCCATCACACATCACCGTGCCTCATTCTTCACAATCCTCCTCATCGTTTTTTTAGAGGATCCTCTGAGCTAACACAGCAGCGACACGTGTATTTCTTTGTGTACATGTATTGTGTGTTGTTTGTTTGCTCTACGTACGTATTTGTTTAGACTTACCGCATGTGTGGCACAGTTTGCAACGTGTTCATATTCAGTGGGCTGGTATCTCTTGCTGGCTGGCACCCTGCAGTTCATGAACCTGAGAGAGGGCCGAGAGGGGGAAGACGGAGAGGCGAAAGTATGTGTTTAGATAATGAAAGGAGATCTGGAGGCCTTACTTCTTGTTCTTGTGTGTGTGTGTGTGTGTGTGTGTGTGTGTGTGTGTGTGTGTGTGTGTGTGTGTGTGTGTGTGTGTGTGTGTGTGTGTGAGATGGTCATTGTGAAAGGATTTGCAGCTCTCTAATCCTCATCACGCTGTCTGCATTTTAGAGTGCTTCATTGTTACCACCACAAAGGGACACCACTGGCCATTAACTATTAACCGCATTGCATTATTCGCCATGAGAAAGTTGCTACGTGTGTGTGCGGGTGTGTGTGTATATGCGTAGGTGTGTGTGTGTGTTGTATTTACGTAATCAGCAGTAAACCTCTCAATCCCAGCTTAAAGAGAAAAAACACATCTGGAGATGTTACGAAATCACATTTTTTTACATCAGGATGAACACACGGACACGCACACACTGGTTTAAAAGAAGCCTCTCATGCAGGGCCACAGGTGCGTCGCTGTTGGTCAGCTGTGTTATTTGATTACACATTTAGGCCCCGCACTCACCTTCACGTGCCTCGTCTTTGCGTTGTTATAAAAGATGAATGGAAAGAGTAAGTCAGGAGGAAGTAAAGCAGAAGAAGGAGAGCAGATAAGGGAAGGTAACGTGGCTGCTTAAGCTTATGCACTACGACTTCACACACTAGTCACCTAAATGTCTACCAAATACGAGGCTACGTGAACTCTGACCAGACATCAGAGGGAGAAAAACACTTTCTGAATCCAAACCTCTGACGCTTCACAGATATCACAGATAAGGAACCCTTTGAAAGTCACGTGACTATGAAAAAGAAAGTATCTTTGGCAAAATGCAGCTCGTGGGAGAAAGGAAACCACTGTGACTTCCTTTCAAATTCAAAAAATATCAGATTTTAAAATGCACAAACTGTGTGCTCATTTTTATTGACCAATGCCAAGATGACAGCAGGGGGGGTTTTTTGTTTTGTATTTTTGGTGTCAGTGAACGCCGCAGCTTTGTGGAGAGGTAAGTAAAGCAGTAAAACTTCACTGTTTGGGGAATAGAGGGCAGAGGATACTTTTATCACAATATTTCTAACTCATGTTAGGATTTTATTGTCATTATGCTGAGTATTGTAACAGCATGCATTGGTATTTATCACCTTTAATTAACTTCAAATTTCATCCTCCAAATGTAACTTTGTCAGTGGCTGGAAGCCAGCTGAGTCAAGTCTGCTTGAGTTGTGCTCATTAACTGATGGCAACACGTTGGCAATCAGCCTCGCTATGACCTGCTCATCCTCTCATTTTTTGTTTCTTTGTAGATTTTGAGTTAATATTTGCTGTTTCCTTCACATTCTCCTTCAGGTGATATCTGTCCTCATGCCCTCAAAGCTGTGAAAGAACCTGATGCTTGTTCCAGGACTAACTTCTCCAGCTTCTCCCTCTATTTCATTATTCCTGCCTGATCGCTTTTTCCCAGACAAAAAGCATTTCCTCAATTTGTGCCCACATGCGGGGAACGAGCTCCCTCTGGTTTTGGAGCGTGGACTTCTTAACCCCTTTTCACCTCTTTGCACTTAAAAACGGCTTCCCCGTCATCTACGTTCACACCAAGGCAACGTGCTAAAACTACACTTTGCCAGTTCGCCCTGACATCAGGTCCGTGTGGGCCGACTTGTGTTCGCACGCAGGAAGACTTCGGGTTTCCCTCCCTGTCAAACTAATCTACAGAGCACGAGTCTGCTGACACAGAAGCTAAGCCAGCGGCTGATAGCAGAATTTAATAACAGATCAGCATCTGTGCCTTTATAGTTTTTACCAAAATACGAGAGCGAGGACCCAGCTAACCCTGAAGGATGAAAAAGCATGAACAGATACATTTCTAGGTTTCCATAACTGTTTGAGATTAGACTAACAGACTAATTAGACTAAAATTAAAACATAAATATGCATAAATATGAATGTATTCCCTCATAACAGGAAAGTTGGTGCTTTTTCGGGGGGTTGTTGTTGGTCTGGCTGGTGTCATCAGGGCTCTATCATTTACAAACAACCTCCATTTGTCTCCCACACACACCAGGACTCATCCCTTCCATCTTCTTGTGCTTTTATTAAATGTTTTCCTACTGCAAAATTAAAAAAAACAATTCTGGACACATTAAACTTGTAATAAACGTGTAATAAAAAGCAAAAACAGCATTTAGCAAGATAACATTAGATCGCTCTGTGACTGCCTTTCCTCGTTTCTTTGTCCGGTGTCCCTTTAGGCTCTGCCAAGCAACAGAACAAGGGAGCAGTATTTTTCTGAGCACTGTTGCTGTACTGTGGCTCAGTGTGGTACTCTGATGTGTTCTAATCAGTTATGACAGGAGGGCTTTGTGTGTGTGTGTGAGTAATGAAGTGAAATAGAGGGATGGAAATTCAAAGGCTGATCAGACAGGGCATTATTGTATCAGCATCCCTTTTTTCTATTGAGAGTCTCCCTCTCCGTGCGCTCACCTCTTCCTCTCCGGCAGATGTGTCACGGCACAGTTACGTGCATGCATGTGGCACCCCTGTTTTCATCTCACTGAGCATTACAGCACATTCCATACATTATCAAGCCCAGTGGGGACTTTGACCTGACTGTACCAACACAAGCTAGTTTAGTTAGATCACGCTGGGTTTTTTTCAAGGCCAAGACTTGGATTTAGGGTAAAGGCCAGAATTATGGGAATGCTGGCATTCAACTGTGATGGCTAGGGTAAGGAGCTAAGGAATGCAGTAAAACGAATAAACCCCCCACAGATTGTGTGTGCGTGTGTGTATCCAATATTTGTGACTTCAAGGCTATTCCTTTTACAGCAAAGATCAAGTTAATCTCCTCTGGGACTCTGGTTCTCATGATTACCGACGTCCCCAGATCACTTTCTCTCTCTCTCTCTCACACACACACACACACACACACACACACACACACACACACACACACACACACACACACACACACACACACACACAGACCGGTTCTGTCTAAAGTTAACTGACACTGAACTATTTTCAACTTCCCAAGGAAAGCCCGATGGATTGCACAGATACCACAAAGCGACTTATACATCAAAGGGATCGATCACCGCAGTAAGATTAAAAAAAATCTTCTTATATTTTTAATAAAGATAGCTGCTCTGCACACCCCCCCCCCCCCCCCCCCTCCCTCTCTCTGGCTTTTTCACACAAACTAATCTATAACATATCCCTCTGATCGCGCACGTGCCGGCGCGTCAGTACGCATGGATGCACAGGATCTGTCACAAACGAAAACAAAAACATGCTGCTAGATAACAACGCTCAAACTTTTTTTCTTATTTTCCTGGGAATTCAACTTACTTTCCAAATTTTGTTTTCTTGAAGTCCATCTCGTGCGTAGGCTATGCGGGCCAGCGCGTCTGCGCGCCTGCGTTCTCTTGTTTTTTATCGCAAACAGTAAAACCAGCCAGCGCAGTCTTCTCCTACGGATTCCCCATTCCGGATGTCCCACCACCGCGCGTCCAGAGATAAAAACATAAGTCCAGGAGAGCCTGCGACTCGCAGAGCGGGTACCAGGACAACCGGCCCGCGCTTGCTCCGGGGTTTAAACGACTGGGCACGAAAGCGACGATCGGCGCGCAGCAAGAGAAGTTGGCGGTGAGGGGACCTTGCCGAGCTTCGTTCCGACTCTCTCAGATGTGGTCGCAGGATGTTCCGCGGGACTGGGCTCGTAACCCCTCCCCTGCCCTCTTCTCCCCTCCCCTTTCGCTCTCCTGGCTGCTGCTAACTTCACCAACGAAAGGCAAACCCCTCACCACAAAGCACCGACACCCTCTGCTGTGACTTGCAAGTGTGACATGTGAACAGGTCGCTTCTGAAACACAAACCCGGACTGAAACAAGACAGGAAGGGAGGCACAAAGGTGATAACAAAACCTGACCAAATGAGTCAACTGAACTCAAGAGACTGGAGCGAGCGCTGTTGCAACGAAAATGATGCCAAACACATCCTGGACAGACATTTACCTCTGTTACCTAGTTTGTTTGTTATTTATCTCCTTTACTGTTTCCATTACTCTAATTTCTTTCCACTGTGCTTTAAAGTAGCTGTTTGGGGGTTTGAGTGACTTCTTAATAACTTCAAATACTTCAAGAGATTCATATAATAAAACTGTGACCAGCTGAGATAACACAACTTGTAGTTTTAAAGTATTCAATGGGATTCTCTCAACATTCTTCTCGGGAAAGTAGTTTTACATCACTCTGTTGTGCTATTGTGTTGTTCCAGGGAATCCCCTTCCTCTGACGTTTCATTTAGATAAAGTCCAGGAACAGGGAAGGACAGATATGCAGAAATTTCGCAAAAGATTGGAAAAACAAAATAGTAAGAAAGAAAGAAATTTCTCTATTGGCTATTCGCTTATGTTCCAAATAAGAAGTGACCTCAAGGTTTGGAGCCACTGGAATTATTTTATTTATTAGATTTTTGATATTTACACCACTGGCCACTTTATAAGCTAAAGTTATAGCCGTTTGAATTCTTTGTGCAATAGTTTCCAAACTAAAGAGGATTTGTTGTCGTGTTCAAGTTTGAAATGATTAAGGTGTCTTAACTACTGTGGTCATAAAGAGATGAACTTGGTCAGCAACAAAACTCATTCAGGCTAATGAGCCAACGCTGCTCAGTTGGTACCAAGGGCCTTAAAGTGTGACAAGAAAATATCCCCCACACTTTTACACCTCTAACAGCTGCCTGAACTGCTGATACAAGCCAGAATGGATCCACACTTCCATGTTTTTTATGCGATTTTATGATCTCGAAGCAGAAATCGAGTCTCATCAGACCATTCTTCTGTTATTCTATTTTGGCTAGCTTGCGTAAATTATAGCCTCAGTTTCCTGTTCTTAGCTGACATGACTGGCACCCGATGTGGTTTTCTGCTGCTGCTGTAGCCCATCTGCTTCAATGCTTAGCATGTTGTGCATTCAGAGATGCTCTTCTGCATACTTTGATTGTAACAAGTGGTTATTTGAGTTACTGTTACCTTCCTAACAGTGAAAAGCCATTTGGTCATTATCCTCTGACTTCTAGCATCAACAAGGCATTTTTTTTACCAGCCCATCTGGCACCAACAACCATTTAAATCACCTTTCTTCCCCATGCTGATGCTCCGTTTCAGTAAATCATCATGACCATGTTTACATGAATACGGGCAGTAAGTTGCAAACCATTTGATTGGCTGATAAAATTATTAGATTACTAGATTATTACAGATGTGCCCAATAAAGTGGCCAGCAAGTGTATTTAAAGTAAAGAAGAAGGCTGCTAGGACTTGGACTAACAGTGTTTTAATTTATGCAGTCCTTCCCTGTAGCAATGTTTTCTTCTGTGCCCATAAAATACACAAATGTTGTGTATAACAGGAAAGTATACACTGCTGACTGCTGGCTCTACAGTTCATTTATGTGCCTGGCATTTTACAGACACCCCCCCCACACACACACACACACACACACACACACTCATAAACACACACATACACACAACCCCACCACCCCTATTCTTCCTTTCAAACACATATGCTCCACTGAATGGAAAATTAAATATTATCCAACAGTAAAAGTGGCCAGCAGAAGCCCTTTTTGGCACCGTGCTGCAGATGTGAGAGACAGCACAGACCCATTATGCAAATGCACAGATACCCAAACTGCGAGAGAAATGTGTTATACATTTACCTCCTCCTCCCCCCCCCCCCCCCCCCCCCCCCCCCCCACACACACACACACACACACACACACACACACACACAGGCGACCAACACTGCTGCCACCACCCCGGCTGTGTTTGCAGATAAGATTCCATATCAGGGACAGTGACCTGACAACCATATTTGTTCAGGTGAATAATACTTATAAATACCAGCTGCCTGTGGTTAGCCTCACTGCAAACATTCAGTTTTAAACACTGCGTATCTGAATGTATTTTAAACTAACATCCTGTAACACAGCTGGTAGATTGGGGTGTGGTGACAAACATCTGTGTAGGCCAGACATGCTGGTTTCTGTCTCCTACTGTAATCGCCTTTAAATTTCTCAAATGCCAGGACTGCAGCTTTGCTTTCTATTTGAAAAGCAAGATATGTCTGCACATCTCTGCCCATCATGTTTGTGCTGACAGACCTTTGGAGAAGAGGCGGCCACCCGGCCCCTGGAAACGGCAGGCTGGTCCAAAGGACACGGCTGACTCAGATCGATGAAGGCACTGGAGCAGACGAAGAAATGAAAAGCTCTCGGTGGAGTCACTGGTTATAATAAATGTGTGTGCGATGCTCTATAATCGATCTTGATTGTGTAAAAAAAACTAGAGTCGTCACCATGGTTATGAAAATGCAAAATATTGTTCATAATGAGAGTTTAGATAGTGTTGAAACAGTCCAAATAATGTTGAGAGGAGCCTTAGAGAGAAACTGGTTAAAGATTCCTGCTCTTAAAGCCAAGCTTCCATATGTTTTGTGTTTATCCTGGATACACCAGACTTTCAACGAGATCAAAGGTCATTGTTCTGGCTGTGGGCACACAAGCCCCACCCACCTGCTGTTCAAACCTTCTGTTTGCAAGGAGCAGCCAATGGGACGAAAGGTAAGTGGTGTTAAAGAGGAGAGAGTTTAAACAACTTGTTCTACACAGAATGAACTGAAAGGCTGCACTAATAATAATCCTTCTTTATACTGTGACTCATGCAAAGCTACTCTAGTGGAATCTTTGTAGGTAAACAGGGTAATTCATTACACTAAAAGTCTGTCACAGTGGACTGAGTTCTGGTTAAGGTATGTTTAGTTTACTCGTGTTCTTGTTTTCTATGCTTTTACCCCTCTGCCAACTAGGTGACAGTATTTCAACATTATACACTTCCTTTTTGTTTTCCCGGGAGATCCTCACTGATAAACTGTCTGGAAAGACTGTCTCATCCTGGTGTTTCACGTTACCTGTCAGATTTGCGTGAGTGAATAATTTCCACTCCAACATGCTCAGACTTACACCTGAAACTCCAGTGAAACCAATACACAGACAGAAATTCTATGACTCATGCTCTAAATTACATTTCAGTCAGTGGATGGGATCACTCGCTGTTTCCTTTTCATTCCACGCCTTATACTTTGTTGTTCCAACTGCCAGAATTTGGGACTTTTGTCATGCTATGTGAAAGTTTTTAGTCCAGTGCTCCCACATGAGAATTCAAAGAGGAAAGAGAACGTTTTTCATTTGAAGTCATTGAAGGCATTTGCAAAAGCACAGAAAGCTCCAAATAAGTGGCTTTATTAAGCTTAATTTTCTATTTTTCAGTAATATGGCATACTAAAAGGAAAAAACGCGGGCTACTTAGACATATATGTAATACAATTTTAATATCTGATGTTCACATATGTTGAAAGCTGCTCTACATGATCCTTTCAGCATCTGTTAAAATGTTGTAAACTGCGGCACATTAACTGAAGAGGCAACAGATAATGGCTAAAAAATGGTGATGTATGAAATGTTGCAACTCTTTTTTAAAAGGCATTACTTAGTTTGCACTCACTTGCCTCTCTCTAACACAAAGATCTGACTATGTGAAAGTGAAAGTGTCAGTACATTGAGTTTTTCAAATCTCACACACGCAATCAGTGTTCTTTTAGTTATTTGGAGGTTTGCTTTGCAATAGTGTAGAGCAGGAACTGCACTCAGTAAGAAATAAGAAGTGCACAAATTCATTTAAAAAAGAAGTGGCAAATAAACACAAAACTTGCACATAAATTGTAGATTGAAGAGGCTTCAAATTAGAAAAAAAAACTAACTTTTTATCATTTTAAAAATTCACTATAAACTATCGTCATTTTAGGGAGGATCCCGTTGCCTCGATTGATGATTGTTTATATATATTTAATAATTTAAAAAAGAGAATAACAGGAGGTTAAAATTTTAAACTAAATTAAAGCTAAAGATACAACAATATAATTTTTCATGCTGGTGTTATGAGGAGATGGGAACTGTAGAATAAATACTTACTAGCAGCGCCTCCATTGTAGATGACTTTTACACAATGTAACGATGGGGGGCGCTGGTTCTCTGAAATCCTCAATGTATAGCGGAGTCTTCTGATAGAGTCGTGATTGGTCCTGGTTTCTGTCTCCCTATTGGTTTAAAAAGGACAGAAACCGAGATACCAGTATGTTTACCGTTTTACCATAATTTTGTTTGTGGGGTTTTTCTTTATTTAAATGTTTTGTTTTTGTTCATTTCATATTTTTGTTTTGTATCGTTTCCTGTTTAGAGTCCGGGGAGCTCATTTATTAAAATCTGTCATGGCCCTTTAAAGGAACTGCACGCTGTGCGCATAACGCATGCGTATTGGGGGTGAGCAACAAGCTCCTGTGGAAAACAACAACAATCGTTAGAGCAGAGCAGCAAACAGAGATGGTTCCGTAAAGCTCAACACTTCTGGTCTTTACCACTGTATTCAGTCCAGCTGCTGCTATTTCTACTGAAGCTTTATACGTCGATGGTGCCGAACCCATGAACCTGGCCAGTCAAAGCGGAGACGCTGGCGGAAGCCAGCTGCTCTTCGCCAACTTTAACCAGGACAACACGTAAGGCAGGGCCGGGGAAAGTGGCTTGGGATCGGATGGCCTGTGCTGTGAAACTAGCTAATGCTAATTAACCCAGCTTGGACTTGTGTGGACGCCTAGCGGGGTCACAGGAATGGATTTGAAATCTCCTAGATGTAGTTTTTGTCATGCTA